GTTTGCACGTTGTTGGGGGGCGAAATCTGTCTTAAGGATATTTGCTTTGGCATACCTCGCTTCATCTTCTTTTACCATTTTTCCTGCTTTTTTATTTGTTCTTTCGATTGGGATAGTCGAATTTCCGACAACAGACTTATGCAGAGAGATCGATGGAGATGAATGTTTGGTGACGGTCATCATTGTTAACAATGGTGGTGTTTTGCTATTTTGGTGAGATCATTGGTGGCCAAAGGTAATGTGAAGATAGAAATTGAGATATATGTGATCTATGCTCATATGTGAAAATTGCAATGGTGAGTAATATACAGTGTTCTAAAAAGTGCGTCTAATCGTGAGGCGCAAATAAAGCGCTTTTCCTTGACAGTAAGCGCAAATTACGCAGTCAACTACTAAGTTGATCGTTTAATGGGATCCTCGGCATGCTTGATCATTTTTTTCCTTTTAAAAATATTTTATTTGACTTTAATTCATTAATTTCTTTGTTTTTTCCTTTTTGTTTAAAAAACTTTTATTTGACTTTAATTTCGAGTTTTTAAACTATTTTATATGTACAAGAGTAAAAAATGACTTTATTCGATAAAAAATTAGATAAGCTTTAAGCTGCAATACTATTTATATTATGTAATTACAATTTTAAGACTTATCATATTGTTGAGATTTCGAAAGTATGTATGAATAAATATGTTGAGTATGATTTGTTTAATTGAATATTAGTTGCTACAGATAATAACATAGAAATATAATTATTTTAATTTAGATAACAATCAAATTTATTTAAAATTTTATCCTTATTAGTTAAGTGCCTCCAACTAATTGCTAAAGCATTACCATTGAGAATGCTTCAATTTCTACTAAAGGAATTGTATTTTACAAGCAATAACACTTAATTGCATCATGTCAATATTAAAGTTCTCCCCACTATAGTTGACTTACGATCAAACCATTACTTAAGGAATTGTATTTTACAAGCGTTAACACTTAATTTCATCATGTCAATATTAAAGCTCTCCCCATAATAGTTGACTTACGATCAAACCATAATATTTATTTTTTGATAGTGAAATATATGTACAATGCTCTACCACAATTCATTAAGATGTACATTGAAGAATGTTGAGATTACATATTTAGTTTGAATCTTACAAAAAATCTTAATTCCTAAATGGTGATATTTTATAAAACGGATTGCCAACTCTAAATTTGATTGGCCATTTTTCTCAATATTAGGGAGATGAATTAAGAAACTAAAATAATAAACATAATGCATTATTTTATTATATAGATCTTCGTACAAGATAATTCGATTAGAAATTCGAAAGATGATTCAATTAGAAATATTTACGAGTCAAAGATATTAACATCTTACACATCAACTTTAATTTGGTAAAAAACAAAAATCAAGATTTTAATTTAAGTCTAAGTGGACAATTAATTTTAACCATACATTTCATGAAATTCACAATTTTTCAATAATACATTTCATCAACTTTTATCAAAACCTACTAAAAATCTAATTTAAATTCCCATCAAACTGGGGTTTAATAAATAAACATGGATAGGAAAAGTTCATTTTACTAAGTCTCTCTTTCGAAAATTTCATAAATTATTTATAAATGATCAAATTTCATTTAATCATGTTCTTAAGGATCAACAAATAACATCCACTTATTCTTTTGTCATTTATGTTGATTTATAAATTAAACGCTGTAAAACATAGGCTAATATTTTTTTTTTCTTTTTAACCAAATTTTCTTAAGAATTTTTTTCGCATAGTTTCACCAATGACAATAGGACGATATAGTCTTACACATCTATGCTTAATTAGAGAGTATATGGGACACGTGATGATGTAAAAGAATAAAATATCTCAATGGTTCTTACCTGAATCTAGCTATATCAACGAGTCGAGTCGAAAAAAAAAAGCTCGAGCTTGGCTCCAGTTTTTTTAGGCTGAGCTTTTTTGAGCCCGAGCCGAGCAAAGCTCGGTAAAAAAAAAAAAAAGAGACTCGACCCGAGCCTTAGTGGGCCAAGCCGAGCCTGGACCGAGCCGTTTAGGGTTTTTTTTTAATGTCCAATATACATTTTTACTTAAAAAATTTAAAATTTGTACGGTTTATACGTACTATAAATTAAATAAAAAAACTCGGGCTAGGCTCGAACTTTTTTGGACCGAACTTTTTTAGACCCGAGCCGAGCAAAGCCCGGCCAAAAAAATGAGGCTCGGCCCGAGCCTTAGCTCGGTATAACCGAGCTATTGACGGGCCCGGCTCGAGCTTTTTTCGGTCCGAGCCGACGAGCTTATTTGTC